TGGTAAGCAAATTGAGTTCGGACACGAGTAATCCTAGTGCTAAACATTGGACTACTATAATTAGAGTACTGAGGTACCTAAGACATACTAGTGATTGTAGACTACATTATACCAGGTATCCATCTGTATTGGAAGGTTACACGGATGCTAATTGGATATCTGATATAAAGGACTCACGCTGCACAAGTGACTATGTGTTTACACTAGCTGGAACAGCTATGTCATGGAAATTCTCAACGCAAACTGTAATAGCCAGGTCCACAATGGAATCTGAGTTCATTGCCTTGGAAACTTGTGGTGAGGAGGCTGCATGGCTACACCATTTTTTGGAGGACATTCCAAAGTGAGAAATACATGTGCCACTTATCAGTATTCATTGTGATAGTCAATTGGTGATTGGAAAGGCACATAGTACTATGTATAATGGTAAGTCGAAACATATTCGTGGTCAACACAATACCATTAGACAAACTCCTCTCAATAGGAATTATCACAATTGACTACGTGAAGTCAAAGGATAATCTTGCGGATCCGCTAACCAAAGGGTTAAATAGAGAGGCAGTTGAAAGGTTGACCAAAGGAATGGGTGTAAAGCCTGTAAAGAGATAAAAGTCTTAAGAAGGAAAACCTAACCTAGTTGACTGGAGAACCCAAGATCTAGGTTTAATGAGACAACCTAATCATAAGACTTAGTGTGGTCACTGTGGGGGTAAACCTCAACTCATTCCTGTCATCAAACAGTGATATGACGGAAAGGATAGCAAACAATTGCTTTAATGATACTTAAGTGAATGATATCATTTATTCTAAACTTAAGTTGTCACCTATGTGAGAGAGAAGTGGGGTCGCTTCAAAGGAGAACTGTTAAGAAACTCTTGCAGAACCAGGACGTGTTCATGGCCAAAATGGACAAAATCATGAGAACAGAACTAAATAAAAATGGTTTCTGTGTATTGCATGTGGGTTTCTCTACACAATACAGTTGGGTAGTTCAAGGATAACGCATCTACTAGACAGCTAGTAGAGCAAACGTACTTTACAAGGAGGAAGTTCAAAGGGTAAAACCTACTTTCTCTCTATGCAGGAATCAGTTGGTGAACACCATCATCATCGTTTTATTCGAAACAATATCTCATTCAGGTGGGGATTGTTGGAAATTGAGTTCAAGTTGAATGAGAATTTGGCTTCTCATGGGACTGGGATCGATTGTCGAACCAAACTTTCGCGGGCCTGATCAACCCACGTTTTGCTCCGGTTCGGATTAAATTTTTCAGTCAAACGGAGAGGTTAATGTGTAACGTCAAAATTAATTCTGTAGAATAAATTTTGGACGGTTGATGGTCAAATGGATAGCTGGTTTAATGGAAAACCATTTTCAGCTTTATTTGAATTAAAAGTTCTAGCATTACTTGACCATTAGGAGCCTTGAATATGAAGGTTAATGTGGTTTGAATGTGTAAAACGTTTAAATGGTTATTAGGCCATAAACCTAGGGATTAAATTGCAATTAAATGGTGAAAACCGTTTGAAACCTTCAGCAACTCAAAGGTTCCTCTCCACACTATAAATGGTGACTCATAGTTCAACAATCGACACCCCCTTTTTCCCTCCTCTCTTCCAGTTTCGATAAGAGCCTTTCTTCCTTCCTATTTTTGGTGTTCATCGGCTTGTTCTAGGTTCACGTTCGCTTGTAGAGTTGTTTTGTGCTAATTAGTCTCTAAATTTCCGTCGTATCCTGGTAAACAGTTGCTAGAGATCCTCAAGCACCTTAGGAGGGGACAAATCTGTGTTTAAAGAGATCGTGTTTTACGAGCCTCGGATTTTTCCTATCCTTATTTTTCTTAGCCTTTGCGAATACTTTGCCCATTTCAACCAACATCCTTTAGACACATTCCGACTACAATTTCGAATGAGAAGGGAGTTGTTTCTTCGAATTGTTGCATCTCTTGAAGGTCATTCTGAATATTTTACATGGAGGGTAGATGCAGCCGGAGTAAAAAGAATTTCTCCTCTCCAAAATGCTGATATTTAACAATTGGCGTTTGGATCACCAGCTGATTCTTTCAATGAGTATCTACTACTTACGAATTGGTGAATCAACTGCGATAGAATGTGTCGAAAAATTTCGTCGAGCCATAATTGAGATTTATGGGGAGCGTTACTTGCGAAAACTGAACGCACGTGATTTGGAACGTTTGCTTAATATGCATTCGGAGCGACATGGATTTCTTGGCATGTTTGGGAGCATCGATTTTATGCATTGGCAGTGGAGAACTTGTCCGGTAGGAAGGAAAGTCCGATTTACTCGAGGTGATAAAAGATGTCCAACTGTAATACTTGAAGCAGTTGCATCCGCCGACTTATGGATATGGCATGTTTTTTTTGGGATTGCAGGGTTGAACAACAACATCAACGTGCTTAACCAATCTCCATTATTTAATGATATCTTGAATGGATACGCTCCTCTAGTTTAATTTACGGTGAACGGTACTCAATATAATAAAGGGTATTATTTAGCAGATAGTATTTATCCTAAGTGGGCAGCATTCGTGAAAAGTTTTACAGTCCCAATGGACAATAAATGGTGTTTGTTTAAGCAAATGCAAGAAACTGCAAGAAAGGATGTTGAACGAGCATTTGGTGTACTCCAAGTTCGTTGGGCTATTAACGCAATCCTGCACGCCTTTGGAGTAGAGATAAATTGAGAGATGTAATGCATGCATGCATTATATTACATAATATGATAATTGAAGATGAATGAGATAAAGTGATAAATTGTACCGCTGGTGATGATGATGGAAGCCCAATACCCAATTTGACACAAGGTGTGCATCAAAATTTTGAAGGTTATCTTCAACAAAGTGCAGAGCTTCGCGATCGTGATATCCATCAAGAACTTCACTCAGATTTGATTGAATACATTTGGCAACGGTTCAGAGGAAATGATAATTGAAATTAATATGCAACGTTTGTTAAGTTTCAATGTCTCGTGGTTATTAAAGTATGTAATTTGATTGTGGTTTTTGTAGTTGGATCTTTTCGGAAAAAAATGCATTGTTATGTACTTTTTTTTTTATCTTGTTTTTGTTTGTTGAATTGTTTTTTGTCGGTTGAAACTTAGATTTTGATTATGTGTTTTAGTGTTTTATTTTAGGGGAAAAAAATTATTTTGTTAAGCGTGATCACGTGTAAAATCATATTTGGTTTGAACAAGATTTATTGGGATAATTTTCGTCAGATTGATAACGCTTAAGCGAAGAGTTGGTTCTGTTTTTGTAATTGATAAGCTGCTTCACTGAACTTTGTTTTTTCTTTTAATCAAAGACACTGTCAGAATTCACATTGTTAGAATTATCCCCTACACTAACAGAATCAATCAAAGACATCTCATCATCAATTTCTTCGCAACTATCGTCTAAATTAGCAGAATCATCATTTAGTTCCGAAGAAACATCATCAAAACCCACAGTTTCAGTAAGCTTCAAAGCCAAAGAGGGAAAATTACCTTGATCCAAGAAAGATTCGCGGGCCTCCCAAATAGTTGATCACCACTGTTTATCTAATGAACTGTCCAAATCGAAGCTCCTGCTGCTTCGTCAGTATTTTCTAACTGTATAACTAGGATACAGCTTCCAGTCCGTACAAGAATTGAAGAGCATCACCAACCATACAGAAAGATGCAACAAATATCTTAGTTTCTGGTGGTGTCAAATTACGGCCGAGAAATTCTTCAATTCGGGTCAGCCAAGAACTATAACCTTCACCAGAGAAAAGAGGAATTCCGGACGGTGAGGGTTCTGGTAATCCAAAGAGAACCGGATTTGGGGGAAACACTTCGGATGATGGAAGGGATAGCAGGGGGTTAACCCTAGGTGCGTCGAAGCTGATGGATTCCATCGATTAATCGAAGGAAATGAGGATTCTAGAACTGAATCCGTAAACGACACTGGGAAATACCGATTTGACAAAAGAAATGGGAAGGACTACAGTTAGAGGAATTGAATTCGAAGATGCGAAATCCGATCGAAATTGACGGTCGGATCCGGAACCAATTCGAACAACACTGCGAATTGAAGGAGGAGACGATAAATCGTCGTGAATCGAAAAAAAGTCGAAATCAGTGAAGAATTTTGAATAAGCGGAATTTAGAGTATTGCGGAAAAAAAATGAAAAACGGGGACTAAAACACCGAGGAACGGCCGGCTCTGATACCAAATGTAATGCTATGGTGGATTAAAGCCCGAAATCAACAAAGAACAGAGAAGAAATTCGAAGACGAAAATTGGGAGCTAGGGTTCTGAACCACTCCGAAGGGAAAACTCATTTTTCAATTCAATTCATTACTATTTGATAATCATATTTTCACCCTACAAAGACTATGGGCTTGTTTACTCAACACTTATTTTGCATTTTTGTCTCATTTTACCTCTTAAAACACCTCTCAAAGACAAATTCCAATACTATCCCAATAACTTTTTAATTTACTTTTTAAAAAATATTCCAAAAATTATTTTTACACAATTTTCATCCACCACCACTGGACCACCTCCACCACCACCCGCCGCCACCGGACCGCCTGCCGCCAGCCGGCGATCGGACAGCCGGATTCCGGTCGGCGGGCAACGGTGGGCGATCCGCTGGCGGCGGCGGCGGCGGAGGTGTTCCAGTGGTGGTCTAAAAATATTATTAGTTTATTTAAAATATCACCCAAGCAACTTTTTAAATTTTATCTCAAACCATATTTTAAATCACATCTCAAACCCAAATCAAAAACTAAAACAAAAACTAAAATAAAATGTTGGCCAAACAAGCCCTATATATAGTCTTAGAGTTTCTGGAAATACAAAGTGACCCCTAGTCTATTAATTTAAGTCAAATGAATCCTGATTCATAACACGGGCTGCAATCAGCCCACTTGGCCCAATACTAATGCTATGTGGGCTGAAATCTGCCCATTAGGATTTAAAGCTTGAAATGGTCAAAATTCATTAGGATCAAAACAAACCCCAAAGCTTGTGAAATTCATTCTTCATTTCTTCTCGTCTCTGATATCGAACAATGGTGGCGGACGCAGCGGCGCAACCGAAGCCCCGGTGGTGGGAATTGGATGACGACGATGGCGAGGATCTCGATTTTCTGCTGCCCCCAAAGCAGGTAATCGGCCCGGACCAGAACGGGATCAAGAAAGTCATCGAGTATAAGTTCAACGAGGAGGGTAACAAGGTTAAGATTACCACCACAACAAAGGTTCGCAAACTTGCTAATGCCCGACTCAGCAAACGCGCCGTCGAGCGCCGTTCATGGTCAAAGTTTGGCGACGCTGTTCATGAAGATGTTGGTGCCCGCCTCACCATGGTTTCCACCGAAGAGATTCTTCTCGAACGCCCTAGAGCCCCAGGTAACGTTTTCCCTTTATTTATTTATTTTTTAGATGTGATTTTCCTTCACAAATTTGTTGTTGTTTATCTAATGAGATTGCACCTTCTAGTCTAGGAGAAACGTGCTGGTTTTTTCTGTTTTCATTTTTCCAATTGGGCTGGTTGATTTTGACGGGGGGCGTGTCAATGATTCTGATGTAAAGAGCATTTATTTTGGTTAGAAAATTGAAATAATTTAGGGCTTATGTTCATTTTGTTAAAATGGATGCTTTTAGAAAGGTCTTTTGGTTAAAAAGAATCAAAGAAAAATTGCCTCTCTATTTGAGAATGTTTCGGAAGGGGTAGCAGCTCATGGAAGGGTCTTTTGGATCAATTTTTGGGGAATTTGGTTGTTAATTCTATCCGGTGACTGTTCTTTCACTTGGAATTTTATTGGCGCTCTTTTTTGTTAAGAAAAATAGTTATGTGATTGAGAATGATTAAGAAAATATCATTGTTATTTATTACTGGTTTTACTTGTTTAAGTTCTGTGTTTTGAACCTTTTGATAAATGAAAGTTTTGAACCTGGAGGTGTTACTGTGAAGAACCTAGTTTGAGAAGTTTTCAGTATTGTTTGCCATCCACGTCTCTTTTCAGTTGTTTGTGGTGCATGAATACTGACAGCATGGAAATATTTTTTTGTTTTTAAAAATTCGGAAATCTAGCTCATATCTACCAATCACATTTTGAAACTAGTTTTGTTTGAGTTGACTGCTAAGACTGCATTGAGGATGATGTGCACAAATTTCAGGAATGTTGCTCAGGCTGTTCATTTTCAATTTGGTTGTTTAGGTCTTACATTAGATCATAGTCGATTGGGTTGAAGGGGATAGGAAATTTGGGATGGCTGGGTTTTGGGATGAGTTGGGTTATTGAGATAAATTGAAAGGTAACCACTATTTCAGAAAATTTCCTCTGTGGACAAAAAGTGGATTGCGCCATTTCTGTTGAATTTTCCATTTACCGGATTTCTTTCTTTGAAATACTTGCTTCAAGGGATTCAAATTATATGGATCCTTGAAATCTTTTAGACTACCTTTTGTTGTTCTTTTGGCCTTCGTTATGTTCTAAATTCATTGTGTTTGGTTAGGCTCCAAACAAGAGGAATCAAATGCTCCAGGAGACCTCTTACCTAAAGGAGGGGCTGTTCTCATGGTGTGTAGGACCTGTGGAAAGAAGGGTGATCACTGGACATCAAGGTGTCCTTACAAGGATCTTGCAAACCCAAGTGATGTTTTTGTTGATAAGCCACCTACAGAGGCCCAGCCGCAGGCACCTGGAGGCGGAAAGTCTTCATATGTTCCTCCTGGTATGAGAGCCGGAGCTGCTGAGAGAGGTGGAACTGATATGGGGAGACGCAGGCATGAGGAGAACTCTGTCAGGGTGACTAATCTTTCAGAGGACACAAGAGAGCCTGATTTGCTTGAGCTGTTCCGTCCTTTCGGTCCTGTGAGCCGAACCTATGTTGCTATTGACCAGAAGACTGGATACAGCAGGGGCTTTGGTTTTGTGAATTTTGTGAGCAGGGAAGATGCTGAGAGAGCCATCAGCAAACTCAATGGCTATGGTTATGATAATCTCATCCTTAGGGTTGAATGGGCTGCTCCTCGGGCGAACTAAGTGATTCCTGAGCTGAGTTTTCTAATAACTTTCCACCTCTTTGGATGTGGTTCTGTGGAAGTTCTTTTTATTGTTCTGGAATAGAGGATGTATAACGTATAACCATATTTGTCATTTGTAATTTTGCTTACCCTTGCTGTATGTACTTCACGGGTGGCAATTTTGATTTGTTTTTATTTTATTTTGTTTTGTTTCTTTCTTATTAAAATGATGGCTTTAGTATCTCAAATTGGATCTTCAGATATCAGTTTTGAGTGATTAAAAATATTAGTGAAATGTTTTAACTGATAGTCTGATTTAATGGATCAATTTATTATCTCTGGGGCAAAATTCGACGGAAATGCATTTGAATCGGCATATTCACCGTTTTTCGAAATTGTTCTTCAACATACTAAAAACAATATTTAGCCTGCGCGTTTACAAAATGTTACAAAATGTTTGAAAAATCACATGACATGCAACACACTTTCCGCCATGAAATGGAGAATATGTAGGCATCAAGTCCCATTTTCTTCGAAATATGTACATCTCTAAGTTATAAAGAACAAGGAAGCCAAAGAAATACAAAAGATCATTGGCGTATCCTGAAAATTGGTATGATTAGGTAGGTAAGTTACAAAATTAGCACTTGGTAGATTCAAAATTTAATCACACATAGTTCCAAATATAGCTTTCAAAGATTTAATTGACATAAAAAATTATTAAGTAAACAAAACTCTTCTTTTTAAATAGGATTCAAGAGAAAAGACATAATTTATCGTCATATTTTTCAGATTTCCAAGTTTACTTTTTTAAATAATTGTTAGTCTATGATATTGATGGGAGCTATGATTAACCAAAAAATATTACTATTATTATTTCATTAATCAATTGATTTATTTTTTTCTCGTGTTTGTACCAGTTAGTGACGGATTTAAAAGGGGGTCAGGGTGGTTGATCGATCCCCCGGCTGGTCGGATTTGGCCAAATCTTTTCTTAGTAGGGTGTCCGTTAGTTGAAAATTTTTCAGTTCGATCCTACGGTGACGGTTGAATAATTCTATTTTTGACCCCCCGATTTGAAAATTCTCGTTCCGTCACTAGTACCAGTCCAAATTATGAATAGAAAACATCATTATTTAATAAAATTTATTATTTATAAGAGTATTTTAAATTACTAGAGAGATTTTAGTGTACCTAGAATCTATGGACTAATAATCTCGATTAACCCAATTACATAATAATAATAATAATAATAATAATAATAATAATAATAATAATAATAATAATAATGTTTTTTAGTACTACGTCCGTGTAATATTAATTGTTCGGGTTTGAATTTTTGAATCTAGTAAAAGTACACGAAAACTAAAACCAGAGTCAATATAACAATTATTTCGGAAAAAAGTAGTATAAATGTAAAAGAATTACAAAAACCCAAGACACTATGTAAATAAATAATTAAATAAAAAGATAATGCTCCCTCCATTCCAAAATAGATATCGTTGGAGTAAAACTCATTTTTTCTTTTTAAAATACATGTCGTTTTCGTATTTCGAGGCATGTTTTACCAATTTCTTCCAACATTGACCCTACATGGAAAATTGTAATTGTGTTTAAAATAAAAGTGTATTAGAACTAAATAATATTAGAAATAGAATTCAATTGAAAGTAAATGAGAATAGATTAGTATTTTAAACAAATATTTATTATTTTCTTAAACTTTCCTCTAATAGAATCAATTTTGAAATGGAGGGAGTAAAATACTAACTACTAGGAAGTTAAAAATAAATTTCTCTAAAGTTAAAAAGATGTATACCCCTAAAAAGATCTTTACAGCCCTATTTTCCGTTGTTTTTTTCTTTTTCGGTTTAAAGGGAAAACCTTCCTACTTTTTGGAATTAATAGTACTTCTATTAAAATTTTCAAATTTCCTCCACATCAAAAGCTTAGCTTGGAAGGCAAACAAAATTGATTTCCTTTGGGTCTCCGACCAGTGAACATTGTCGAAGTGGGAAACCTGTCGCGGCCGGAAAGCCAATCTCACAGAAATTCGCAGCGGCAACTAATGGTGACGACAACGACGGAGTTTGTCGCCCGGACAGGCGGTGCCAGACGTGTGGGTGGAACCTTGCCCGAAATCCATCAAAATTCCAAGAAGCTGCTGCTCGAGGCTCGCGCTGGATTGGAGAAACTTGAGCGCCTAGAATACTCCTCTTCGTCCTTGCCGTCATCGTCTCTGGAATCCTCGCCGGAGGTTTTCGATGCCGTGAAGACAGACATCTCGCATATCCTCTCTCTCTGTGCCGAGATGGATTTCCTGTGGAGATCATACACCGCTAAATCGGAGCGCGATCTCTGGAAAAGGTCTGTTTATTTGGCAGCTTTTTGGAACCCACTGCATTTATCTCCTCTTGCTTGACCAATTTGTCTTTAATTAAGAAAAAAAATGATAATTTCTTGTTCACTATTGCAATTCTCATATTATATTCTGAAGTAAAGCTTCAAATGAACGCCACAGTTTGTAGGTACTGTAAGTTTTGGGGTTACTTAATTGGTTTGGGGAATATGAAGAAAAGTTGTAGGAGTTCTTTCTGGGTGGAATTTTCACACATTATATTCTTCTTTGCTAGAATTATTGTGATCGGACGTTGGGTGATAGGATTTGTAGGACGATAAAAGGTGCATAGACTCTTTTTTGAATTGGGAGCCAATAAATCATGTGTAAACTCTGTAATTTTTTGAAATTTTGGTCTAACATTCAGAGTAGTTCTGCTTGTTTTTCTTTTTAAATATCTTCATGATCGGATGCCTTCGCCTATAATTTTATTGGTTTGTTCCTTGTAGTATCAATGTTAGTACCTGATCTCAGTGTCTTGTTGAGTAAAAGTGGCCAATCCTAACCCAAGTTTAGTTAGTTGCGAGGAGCGCGGGACAAATCATTGAACTGTAGTGCAACAAGTAGTTGAACATCTTAACAGGAACTTTTTAATTTTGACTCATTGCATACATAAAATTTAATTGTTGCTGGATTGTTAATCTACTTTTGTTTTGTTAGACCATTGGTTGAGAGTTAGCTAATGCATCTGATGTTAGATTCTTCTGGTGTGGATTCGTTTTTTGTAGTAGAAGATATACAAACTAGCAGGAGTGTGGTAAAAGTAATTTGGAGTCCTTGGCTGAACTTTAGCTACTGTTACACTTTGATAAATCAACCTCCTTAGCTGAATTCTAACTTTAGGATCTCTAGTTTAATGTATTCCTTATGGTTGTAGTTCTAGTTTGGTCCTTTCCTATTTAGTGCGTGGGATTGTATCAGTGCGATTAGGAATCTTTCAAATTTCAGCCTTAATAAAGTTTGATGGGGGTTTAGGTAAGCATTTAGATAATATCTGAAATCACGATTAGACTAGTGCCTGTTGGTGCCTTCACTACAGTTTCTTCGAAAAAAAGAGGAAAACCAGTGGAAGTAAAGAGGATTTCATCTTAGTTGTCATATGACAAAATTTAATTTGAAGAATCATATAATTGCTGCATGAGGTGGTCTTCTTGGGTGACTCTGAAAATATAACATCTCGGATTCCTTACCTAAGCATAAGCTTATGGAAAACCACAGTAAGTGTGTGAGATCAAGGATTGTATTTATGAATTGTGGTGCTTGATTTAGCTAAACTAATACCGCATTTCGTGAATAAGAGCGAAACATATTGAAAAATCTGAAGACATATAAAGCTGAAAACAAAATTTCTAAACATCAAGCTATCTGAAGACAACATATATCGGCAGTTCTAACTGTGACTGGGAGGCCACAGATTTTTTTTCCCCTGTAATATATATTACTTTATATCATGTGCAGATATTAAAATATGTAGACATCAGTCATTATTCTGTATATTCGTCATAAAAATAGAATGTAGTTATCTTGAAATTTGGAACAGATTATGTTGTTCTGAACCCTTCAGTTTTGTTTTCTAGAGAACAAATACCTCTTCATGTTTACTTTGGCAGTTCCCATCCACCTGTTCTTGGAAAGTAATGTTTGAAGAACTCATTAGTTTTTTTAGTTCTATAGGAAAGGGTTGTTTTTTAAGGATCTCTTTTGATGTGAAATTATTAGATTGGTGATGCAGGAAAATAGGAGCAATATGCTATAGGATTGACACTGTATTTTATTGGACTGATTGTGATAGGATGATGGCCGCGGGGATTTGCAAGATATTTATGGAATCTTGTATGAATAGCTTTGAAGCAAGAAACCAAATGTAAACTTGGTGCTTCTGTTCGGATTTTCCTTCAACTTTCAGAAGTTTGCTTCTTCTTAAAATTCATAGGACTCGATTTTAAGTGACTTCTCGGTTGTATTCTCTTCGTTCCTTGTTGCATCAGTTTTGGTACCAGAGCTTCTTGTTCTCAGGGTTATGTTCAGTCTAACTGGCCATAGTTTGGGCTTATTTAGTGGCAAGGACAAATCATCCAACTTTTGTGCAGCAATTATCTTACCTAAAAGGTTGAAATTTTGTCCCATTGCATTGTGTAAACGGGAGTATACAGACACAAGGGAGGTGACAAGGATTAACTGGCATCCCTTTATGTCATGGAAAGCATGACCTGAACTTGAGCACAGGCCCTTCTTCAAGCATTGTAGTTAGGAAGTTCTACAAAATGATAGTTGTTTAAGAATTTAATTTCTCAGGTTTGCTTGAATGTGATGTGGTTTAGGAAATAGGAAATCAACACGTGTGGACTCTCCCTTAATTATGTGGGTAGGCAGGAGTTCCTACAGTCGTGTGTTTTTTCTTTTCTTTTTCATTTTTTTCAGGTTGAATTCATGTTATGTTCTTTATGCTTTTTTTTATGTTTTTAAAGGAAGAACCAGGATTTGTAGTTCCCCTTTGTTAGTAGCCTTTTGGTTTGTGTTTCAGCATCATGTGTGCAATTGACTTGTTATGCCCAATTCAGAATGTTTCCTGCATTTAATTGACAGTGATTTTGTTGTCATTTCTTTACAAACTCTCTTTCCTTCACAGAATTGTTTTCATCTTAGTGTACATTTTGGAACTACAATATTCATTTTCTTATGTGGTTTCTTTGTAATTTAGTATGTTTTATTTATTTAGCCTCACATTGTTGTTGTAACATTGCACCTATTTCTCTCTTGTAGCTCTATATTCTTTCAAACTTCATTTTCTGATCCTTGTCGTGCCCTGAAGCTTTACATTAACACATTTATATTGGTTAAGGGTAATTGATTAAGCATTAGCAAAAAACTTTGGGGGGCCGGGAAGCTGGGGGTATTGTTTGATTGTATGGGGGTTCAGCAGTTTATCTACTGCATAAATATGGACAGAAAATGGGGGAAGGATGTTCTGGTGCTTGAGGGTTATCCAAAGCACCATTAGAAGACACAGGAAGAAAGTATGGATAGAGTTATCTGGGATCCCTTTTTGTCATTGAAAGCATGAAACTTGAGCAACGGTTCTTTTTTCAACAATGATAACCGAGAGTTCTACATCATGCGATATAGTTGTTCTAGGATTGAAATATTTTATGTTTTTTGCTTGCATGAGAAATGTTTTAGGAAATAGGAAATCAAAGCCACATGGATTTTCCTTTAAATTATGTATGTAGGCATTAATCACTGTAGTTTTCACTCTCTGGAATAGGTTGTAAAATGTAGTTTTAATTTTGTTCTGATTGAACAGAAAAGTGGAACAAGTGGCTGAAGAGGTTGACTCATTAAAAAATGGTCTAGACAAATATTCACTGCGGCATCAAAGACGAAAACAAGAAGCTCAAGAGAGAGCTGAATTGCTGGGACGAACTGTAAGAATCTTATTATGCCTCTTGCATTTCCTGATGAGGATTGTTACAAATACAACTCAGGTCCGATGTAAATCCTCTTATATCATTATTTTAATTTTTTGGTGTATTCTAGATTGGCGAATCTTCTCATATTTTGAGCATCTACGATGAGGAAGCTCAAGAGAGGCAGTCAGTTAAGAAGTCATCGGCAATGCTTCAAGAAGCTTATGAAACAGGGGTTGCAATACTTTCAAAATATAGTGATCAAAGGGATCACCTTAAGGTAGTTATTATCGAAAACTGGGTCACATTGAATTAGTTGCGCATGTCAGCTTTTTCCACCAGCTGATCATCTTCCTAGATCTTTTTCTTAGTCATGGAGTTTTTGAACTGGTTTAGTTTTTAGAAATCACGAGTTATTATGACGAACCAGGATAAGCGTCTTTCGATGACACTGATGTGATATTCGGAATGTTTCTTTTGGTGCAGAGAGCACAGCGGAAAGCACTTGATGTTCTTAACAGATTGGGGTTATCAAATTCTGTGTTGAGACTTATCGAGAGGCGTAATCGTATGGACAGATGGGTTAAATATGCAGGCATGGTTATAACAATCATCATTGTGATCACAATTTGGAGGTGGACGAGCACATAATGATACCTTGGTTTATTGATCAACTGTGACTCTACTGCCTTTTGGTTCATACATTGTGGGCAGGGTCGTATATAGATGTTTAATTCACCGATCTTCATCATCTGGTAAAATTTTGGGCTTAGGTAAACTTTGGTACTAATTGAATAGTAACCTGATTTAGTAGTTGAGAAAGGTGTTCTTTATGGATTTAATTTTCCTTCTATTCGGTTTGGACCATGGAGCAAAAGAGGTAAACAGAGAAACCACTGTTTCGTTCTAAACTCATTCACTAGGAAGAGAGCATTAATTGGCCATCTCCAAAAAATTAAAAGAATTACATAACTGTCATATTACTTCTACTTTTTAAGTTTCATTATGCTTCTACTGTCATGTTACTTCTACTTTTAAGTTTCATTATGCTTTTTCAAAAAAAAAAAAAAAAAGCAGTATTTTCAAACTGTCGCCGGGTTTTTATCGCAAGTTTCTTTTTGTTTTTTTTTTTTGGAAAGGGCTTATAATAAGATTATTCATGAGTTTTTGAAAGATAATGATTGTGAAAACCCTAATGATTGCTAATTAAATCCAGAAGACTTTTTGTAAAGTGGGAGGCTACTAAACGCCTTAAAAATTTCCCTTGAGCGCCCTAATATAACACTAGAAGACCTTTTTGCCCCTAAATGATTTTATAAATTAAGAGTTTCAATTTCATTCTTTCAATTCCTAAATCAATCTTTCATTTCAAATTCTCTCAATCCAAACTCTCAAAAACTTAGATTCAATGGCTGAACGAATGAAACGGCTACGGAAAGAACTACAGAAACTGAATGTACGTAAAAATTTGAATTGTTTTTTTTCAATTAGATTAAATTAGAACTGTTTTTTTTTTAAAAAAAAAAAACTAACCAGCCCCGGCCGGCGAGGGAGATCCGCGCCGGGTCCGCGCCAGCTCTACTTGCCCCGGCGCGGATCTCCCTCGCCGGCGGGGTCTGGGGTGGCGCCCCTTTCTTCGTCGCCGAAAGGGGAGAGGGGGAGGCGAGAAAGGTCTCACCAGGCGGTTACCGCCTGGCGAGATTTACCGGCCGGTTTTTGTTTTTGTTTTTTTTTTTGTATTATATTATTTATTTAAATTTAATTGTTATTTATGAATTGTATTGTAATTTTAATTTAATTGTTATTATTAGTAATTGTAAATATTATGAAATTTAGTTTAATTATTTATTATTAGTTAAATTTATGATTTTATAGTTTAATGGTAGGAATTTATTTTTATTAGTTTAATTTATTTAGGAAGCATTATTATTAAAAGATATGTTTAATCTTCAGTAAATAATTTAGTTATAATATTTTTGTAGTTTTAGGAATTCAATTGTAGTATTAGGGAGCTTCACGGTTTTTAAATTAATTTGGAAAATTATGAAAGTTACTATAATTAATTTAATTATAGAAAATATATTTGTAGGATTAGTCGGTTTAATTGTAATTAGTCTCAAAAAAATATTAAACGTAGAAATTAAATACTTAGTATAGAAAAATTAAATAAATAAGTACAAATTAAATAAAAAAAGAGGTTAGTAGATAATTAGAGTTAATAAAATATTTGTTTAATTGTGGTTAAAATTAATAATAAATTAAATATTTATTTAATTTTGGTTAAAATATGAAAAATAAAATATGTAGATATTATTAATTGTACTTAGTAGATTTAATAAATTGTACACTTAAGATGTATAGTAGATAATTTTATAATTAGTTATTTAAATAATATAAAACTGTATTAAAGTAATTAACCTAAATTATTAATTTTTTTGGGACGCATTCAGGATTAATTAAAGTTACGTGTAAAATTTAAAACTTTTGTAGGATGGGATATCGCCTCTTGAGGGATCTAGACATCGGCATGCAGTTACGCGCAATCTGTATGCAGAACATCGAGCAGAAAAAGAAAAAAACTTAAAGAAAGTGAAAAATGTACATCCTACGTTTGGCCCACTTGGTGAGTCAGCCAACGTAGATGATGATGATGATTTTGAGGGAGAGGAATCAGCAGAGGATAGTTTTGAGAGTGGGGGGGACGATGTGGATGAGGAGGATGAGGCAGCCGAGTATTCCTCGCCTGAGAGGAGGGATATACATTTTGGAGATAACTCAGTACTGAACCCCATTGGTCGTATTGATGATCAGACTCTAGTTCACCCTACCCGGGGAGGGGGGAGGGGGGAGGGGAAGACCCTTGTTGAATTATCGACCCGGCCCATAGAGCACTCTTTTTAGAGGTCCCAGTACTACTCTTCATCATGCCGGCTCGCAGAGTACTCTTTTTAGAGGTCTCCCTTTGACTAGTCAGCCTCGTTCGCGTTTTGGTGGCGCATCCATTGGTGCCTCTAGCCGTCCTGAGGCAGCTGCAACGTCATCAGGTACGTATTTGTAAATATTTCAGCAGTCATTACTGCTTGGTCAATTTCTTAATTGCATTCGGTTAAGTAAATTTATCAACTATTCTTTATTCGGGTTTCAGATACTAGCAGACGGTCTAAGATTTCTAACGAAGAAATTGATGATTGGGTTGTGACGGACGACGTACCTGCGGGCCATGTGATGGGTCAGTGATTCCTAGTTTTCTTGGCCACACTGCTTATCAGTTGTGGAATGGAGAACCAAGAGATTACCTGACGATGAAGCCAGCGAAGAAGAGTTTGTCTAGATTGCATGGATGGTATGCGCGGTTGCCGGAGAATGCACAGTTGCAGATTCAGAATACCGGTTTGTATCATCTGATTGATACCATGTATGATGACATTGACCTTGCGCTTATTTCTGCATTTATAGAGAGGTGGCAGCCTGACACAAACTCTTTTCACTTGCCGTTAGGGGAAATGACCATAATGATGCATGATGTGGCACACATTTTGGCGATTCTACTTGATGGTTACTTGTTGACCCAATCTCCGGAAGGGGAAATTTTGAAGATGCAGGTCGCGGGATTGCTTGGGATGCCGATGGCTGAGTTAAAGCGTGCATGGAGCCACGGAGGTGTGAGCGGCATATTGATCGAGGAGTGTTGTCGCAGGGTCCTCCCAGCCGTTCAGGTTCAAGCTTGGGTGTGGATCTTGTTAGCCTCGACACTCTTCCTTGACAGGAGTGGGGGCAGGATCAGTGCTTCGCTTATGAACGAGCTCCACGGAGGTATCGAAAATATTGAAGCTTACTCCTGGGGATCCGGTACACTTGCATTCCTCTGCCGTCAGCTTGGGATTGCTAGTGGAGCAGGGTGTACCACGATGGCTGGTTGTATGACCCTTCTCCGGGCATGGATATATGAGTATTTTCCATGCTTCCAGCTCTCCAAGAGGCGGGGACGTCGAGGTGTTGATGGTTGGCCCAGAGCCCGAGACTGGACACCAGTTAGCTATAAGGGCCCGAAGCCTATTCAGAGTCGTCTCCAGCAGATTCGTGCATAACTCGATGCGATGACTGAGCAAGAGGTAGTGTTTCTATTTTATTTCTATGTATTGCGTAAGAGGTATTTCATTGTATGCACTATAATAAATTTTGGTAATGTTCGCAGGTCGAATGGGAGCCATTTGGTCGCGAACTGGCGGCAGCATATTCGAGGACCATCTTCAGTGGGTGGATTATGTACCATGACTTCCAGGAGCCATACATGCCGGAGAGAGTGCTACGCCAGCTCGGTTACGTGCAGTACATACCTCGTGTGCCGCTCACGCTGGTCACTCAGTTTCGCTGGAAAAATGCGCACAAGTATTTTGTTGATCGTCCGATTGCCGAGACCTGTAACTGTTGAGTTAGATTTCTGGAGTCGGAGTGCATCAGCCTCAGTCATTGTATGCCGGTATCGTCTAGTGAGGTAGGACAGGCAGCTGTAGATTACCTCGACTGGTACAGGAGCCATTCACATCCCTTCCTACTGCCGACATCCGTCCCGTCTACATCACGCATCCCAGCGAAGAACTGCACCACTTACGTAAGTTCAACACTAACTGGAATTCCCTTTTTTTAATAACACTGATGCAAGTGTATTAAAACCGCTCACAAAATTAAACTAGCTTCATACCCGTAAAGGTTCCCGTACAACCCAGGGTTATTTATAACCTCATCATACACTATCTATCTGCACAAAACATGATTATTCTGCCCTCCCAACATGCAACTCGCAAAGACGCGGAAACCACAATCGCCATCAGGAGCGACATCAAGATATGACTGAACATGATTGTGGAGTATCTGCAGAATCTTATTCTTATGCATAAACTTGAAAAAGTCTGTCTGCATCACATCTTTAACCAAGTAAAATAATATCATTATTTCTGGATTACATATCAGTATTTTAAGAATAATATAAATTATAATCATACCTCCGCCATTGGGTTCAAAACCCGACGTGTGGCCTCTACTGGAACTGCTGGTGTTAGTCCCACCTTACCCAGTCCATGTACCTGCTCTCGCACGCCATGAAACAAAAGTGCTTTAATTAAATGAAAATAATATTTCGTACATTTAAAAAGATAAAGTAATATCGGACCTCTGCTCTGATCTTCAGCTCCCGACGTATGGCCTCTACTGGAACTGTGGGTGTTCGTCCCACCTTGACCCGATGTACCTTGGCTCGTACCTGCTTTACTGGAACCGCAGGTATTAGTGCCACCCTGACTGCCGTCCCTGTATGCCCACACATTTGGTTTGTCTTGCTTTCTTTTTGAGATGCCTCTTTTCTTCGGCTTGCCCTTGCCTCTCTTTCCAACCCGCGGTTCATTCGATCCGGCTTGGCCTGGGTGAAGTTTGTTGTACATCAATTTGGTGATCTCATGCTGTATTGGCTCCTCAGCAGCGTCCAATTCTTCCACTAACTGCCTGAACAACAATCTGTGAGGAGAAACATCATCCGAACTATCCTTCTGTGTAACCTCACCGATGTCAAGTGTGCTCCAAAATTGGTGTAAGTATTTTGGAGTCAAAATCTCGTTGGCCTCCATTATACGCTTAAGTATACATGCACAAAGGATGGAATGAGTTTGCTTCAGGTAATGATTGCATTCCCAATACACATCATCTCCGAGTTGCTGTGCCCTTTCCAACTCATTGTTCAATAGATTCAAGCAGTAGTGTGAAACATTGCATCTTAATTGGTAGAAAGGGTACTTGTTTTGTTGCCTCCCTATTTTCTGCCTTGATTCTTGCAATTTCTCCCTATGGAGGAATTATAACAAATTAATTAAACAAACTAAACACACAAATTAACTAAAAAGAGATCAAAATCCAGTACCTTATTTGCGTAAGCTGTGTCTCCAGTAACATGTGAACCCTGTGTCAGACTGTTTCAAAAGAAGCATTTGCAGTGCCGAGCCCTTCCTTTAACAACTTGTGTGCGCTCTCCACTCTACAAGTAGTAGTGTTGCCAAGATGCAAAT